ACTCAATTGATCGCAGAGCCAGGAGGCTTATTGGCGACGATGAGCTCGAATATAAACTTCATAGTTTAGCCCATCGGCGAAAGGTAGCGGGTCTGTCGGTTTTTTACAGATTATACTTCGGAGAGTGTGCCCATGAGCTCCACCAGCTCATTCCATCCGCCCCCTTTTACCATCGGACATCTAGACGAACGGCGGGATATCACCCTCACCTGGTTGATATTCCTTTAAGTCGTACTAAGCGCTTTTCGTCATCTTTTATAATGCGCACAGCCCGTGACTGGAATTCCCTGCCTGCGTCTATTTTTCCGAGTACATACAACCCGAATATTTTCAAGGTGCGATTGAATAGGCATCTTCTGGGCGAGCTCGTACCAACGTAGACCTCTTCTTTGCTCTAGGGCTAGGTAGTGGTCAAGAGTTCGTCCATTTTTAATAAAAAAAAAAAAAAAAAAAAAAAAAGGGTACTACTGCCATCTTACCTGTTTTTACCGCCAAGCAGCAACGTGAGCATTACTGTTTCGGTTTTGAAGGGAAAGGGTGCTGGTGAAATTACAGGCACATGGACTTGTCAACTGATGTCTCAGGGTGACAGGCGCAGTGGCAGTGTCCCTCACATCTCTGCGATTTAAAGCTCTTGAGTGGCAGTGCAACTGTTATCGACAGGAATGTCGCTTAACATCAAGCGCGCGACTTGTTCGTCCTGTCACTTGCTATACTAAAATAATATATATAAGTTTAGTTTTATAGCCGTGATAGCCTAATGGTTTGACCTACTGCCTCTCAAGCAGAAGGTCGTAGGTTCGAATCCGGGCTCGCACCTCTGAGTTTCTCGGAATTTCTGTGCGAAATTTAATTTGAAATTTATCATGAGCTTTTCGGTGAAGGAAAACATCATGATGAAACGTGCACGTCGAAGAAGGATCACAACCCTCGGAAAACGTGTGAAGTCCCCAACCCGCATTGGGCCAGAGTGGCGGACTATGGCCTAAACCTTCGTCTGAAAGGAGACCCGTGCCCAGCAGTGGGACATATAAATGGGTTGATGATGGTATATAAGTTTGAAGCCTTTGCATCTCTGTGTCTATCTGTCTTTGGCAATGTAGTTTTTAAACGGATAGACGATTTATTTGAAGGCTGATTTAATCGAGATGGTTTTAGCTATATTCCATGAGCATCAGCGCAGCTATTTAAAGATCTTCAGCAAGTTGACCCAGTTAATGTAACGAACTCAGACATAAAATGAATATTTATTACGATCCGATCGGTTTGAAATTTGGTGTACTATGGAAATGCGATAACATCACAATAATATGGTAACTTAATGCTATTACGAGGATAGATGCAGAACTATCGTATTTCGTGATTGGGCTCATTCAGATGGTTTCGGTGAGTAACTGGCTTATAGATCAGCATCTGTAAGCCAATTACTAATAATATCGTTGATCAATTTAAAAGAAATGCATAGACCTGAAATTAAAAGTTTAAAAACTTCCGATACAAAACAGCGTACTCCATAAACTCTAAACTAAGTCACGACTTTATCGCTCGCCAATGCCTTTAATAAGCTTTATGGTTACGGAGCTTGTTTTAAGGACCAAGGCTTTGCGTATTGCTGGACTACCAAAGGACAAGTCTATCTACGAAGAAAGGAAGGTGCTACTCCAACATGCATTAAAAATGAAAAAGATCTCGTAACGTTGCGGCATTCAACATGACTAGACAGCATAATTATAGGAACTAAAGTTCTCTCTGCTTCTCAGGTTATTCGTCTACTTTTAAAGTTTATTTTCAAAATCATCTCATTATTGTTTAATAAATAATTGACATAATAAGTTACTCTCAAACCCACAAATAAACACACGCAAATTCACACACAAACTCACTCATCACACACACACACACAATAGTGCGCGAGTGTGAGTTACACATTTCTAACTCACTCACACTTACTACCATTACTACAAACATTCCACCATACAGTCCACGTCATGGTACCTATATACTAAATCTATGGTCCACATATAGTCCTATTCAATACATGTTAAACTCCTTGCTACTCATCTCCTTGTTTATAAACTACATATTATATAAAATATCAAATTCGAAGACTTAACGGAATATAAAGACTCTATGTCTATCTCTGACTCCGCTGTGTGTTTTAAAGGCGATTGTTCTTCATTGTTTACAAATACTAATAAAAGCCTAAAAATTTTTAACCAAAATATTCGAAGTTTAAATAAAAATATGTCAGTATTCTTCAATATTACATAGGAGTGGAGGATAGGAGTGTTGGTTAAATCACATACCAAATATTCCATAGCTATAAACCACTACATGACGAACAACAATTATACGCAGAATGAGGATTTTGTTTTATATATTAGAGAATTTCTTAGTGCAGTGATCGAAGAGCCACATTTTATCGATGCTAAATAAATAAGCACTCACTTATAATCTGTATATACCGTCCACCGGCTCAGAATGATCTTTCAAATTTCTTTCAATCTTTGAACACCACTCTCAAGGCGTCACCTAACTTTCAAAATATTATACGTGGTATATTATGTGTGGTGATATCAACATCGACAGTACTGTATATATTATGTATGTAATACAAATAATTATGACAGACATTCGGCCTACTACTTGGATCTTCTGGCGTATCATTGTTGTCTCCAATCTGCTATATAACATATATAGCAGATTGGAGACAACAATAACATATCCACTCACAGTAATACCTGTTTAGACCATTTCATGATTAAATTTGAATTATCTGCCTAGATTTTAGCTGAGTCAACATTTACCGATCACTACATAGAAATGTTTAACCGTGCACTTAACTGCGGTAATAAAAATACTTACTGTACTCTTACTAGAAGTAATTTTGCGAATCTTAACATAAACCTAAATAACATCAATTTTGACGTAGTATATACACAAACAAATCCAAATGTAGCTATGACAATTTTCATAAGTTTAATTCAACATGCAGTGGTGTCAAACACACACTATTTGTACATCTAAACGTAAACGTATCATCAAGCCTTGAGTAACTCCGGGCCTTTTGCGATGTATGAGAAATAGATAAGTGAGGCACACTATAAGCTTCCGGAATGAATAAGATAAAAATGCTACAAATGGTCAAAAATTAATTTATTGTTTCTCAAAATATTCTCCGTTAGCGTTAATGCACTTTTTCATACGAATAAACCAATTTTGAAATCATTTATGCCACTTCTCCGTGACAATATCTGAAACATATTTTAAAAACGGATCGCGTCACTTGGCGCAATGCCATGCTTACCAGATTCAACGAAGGGGCGTCAAATTTGGTGTGGGACATAGTAACAGGTGACGAAACATGGATTTATAGTTACGATCCCAAAACAAAGCAGCAATCGAGCGTATGGGTCTTTCGAGATGTGCCGAAACCAATCAAAGTGGCGCGCGTGCAAAGTGCCTCTAAGCGGATGATTGATTTTTTTTAAATAAAACTGGACACGTGGCTACTGTTGCTTTGGAGAATCGTTGTACGTTGTACGTTGTGTTGAATTGTTGTATTCGTTTGCCGGAAGTTATTGACAAACTCCGTAAAAATATCCGTAAGCGCCGTATCATCTTGCACCACGATAATACCAGTTCTCACAGGGCCAGACAGACAAATGATTTTTTGAAGGTGAACAACGTTGACCTTATGAGCCATTCCGCGTACAGTCCCGACCTGGCACCTTGTGACTTTTATTTATTTCGAAAAATAAAGAATCAGTTACGGGGTCAACGATTTTCAACACCCGAAGAGACTGTCGAAGAGTATGAAAAATATGTTTCAGAGAATGTCACGGAGGAGTGGCATAAATGTTTTCAAAATTGGTTCATTCGTTTGAAAAATTGCATTAACGCTAACGGTGAATATTTTGAGAAATAATAAATTCATTTTTGACCATTTAGTATTTTTTTCTTATACATTCCGGAAACTTATGCGCCTCACGATCTCATTATCTTACCTGTTCCGTTTTTTTTACTATTTCCAAGTTCCTAATCCGGTTTCCAAATTTTCTTTTTATATTACAACAAGTTTACCCGTTTTAAAGACAAATACAAGTTTCCCTATTTTAAAGCCAACAATCATAATCTTGTAACTGGCTGCATCGTTCACCGGGAAAAAAGACGAAACTTATGAGTTAAGGAAGTGATGATGAATGTAATTTGTGTGGAACCTGCAACCATGTCGTCTTTCCATGCTTAGTCTGTCACATAGTCTTAAATTTTGTAATATGACTTTTGAATTAAAATTTTAATGTACTTTTTAAACTCAGGAAATGGTGGGTGCCTGGAGACCTATCATACAGGCTAGACCTAGTTTAGGCTCCAGTTTCCCACAAATGTAACTAACTAATGTAAGTAGCTTATTGTTAATATGCGTCATTTAACATTGTGAGGAGAAATAAATTATTTTATAATTTTTTGTCTTTCGTTAGGTAAGCTTATGTCGATATATCGTAAAAGTTGGTGGTGGAGAAAGTTCAAATTAGGCAGTAATTCACTTACCTCATGTCGGCAAACTGAGATTACACAGTAATTCCGTCATGCCACCGGTACAAAGCCTACGCTATAACCAATTTTCACTAGGCTTATTACTTCAAAACATATTTGTAGTTAATTATGCATCAGACAGTGCTTTTCTGGTTTAGATTAATGCCTTTGATCTGCGGTTAGAATTAACGGGAAGCAGTTCTCCCTGTATATTAAATTATACCTCTGATGAGGCAGTTAAATCGCATGCGTAGCGTGGTGGTAAGGGAAAACTCTCCTTTTTCTGGAACAAACGCTGCAAAATGTCAATTATTATATCTTACATGATGCAATCATACCAGTGGGTGTTTAATAGATTCAGAATTATATAAAACGACCAGTTTAATTTGAGCTTTGCTATAATGATTTTATCTTTATTACAATAAATACAGAATATTTTTCGAATATACGGAGACGGACACGTAGGTTAGTTGTTGGCATTGTACTTTTTCAGCTTTCGAATTTTTCAGTGCAAACGAGAGTTGATTATTTAAAAGTGAAATAATGCCCATTTGCCTGATGAGTTGCCAGGGATGGATGACCCTTATTTTCATCTCTATTTCTGGTTACATACTCTATGTATGTAAATGACATAGTTTATAGGCAAGACTCCAAACGACCTGTAATGATAATTACAGGTTATGCATACATGACCCATTGTGAATGGTAGCAGTGGTTAGTGGACATTTTTATGAGATCTTGCCGTTTTAAGGTAGTGTTGTGTGTCGCATTTGTTTCATACACAGCCACCTACAAATTTATATTGCAAATATGCACCAACTATAGTTGCTCATGTAATTTTTAGTTCACTCATTGTGATTGTAAAAGAGGCGCGTGCGTGTCGCAACAGTGGCGCTGTAACTGCGTTTCTGAATATTGTATGAAATTTGAGTAATAGCGCGGTTGAAGCGCCACAGTGATGACACTGTAGACGCGCCTTAAGCAGGATGGTGGTTTTAACATATAAGAACGGCGATAAAACGTAAGGTAATGGCAATTGCCAATAATTAGCTAATTATGAATAAGGTGTTCATTTTAGTTAAAGTACATAGCATACATAGGGTTAAATTCTGTTTAATAAATTATCATATAATATAAATTTATATCTGCATCAGTTGTTCAAAAGTATATGAGCTAAATAAGGCTACGAAATAAATTAACTACTCATTTAATAGGGTATGAACGTAGCAATATAATTTCCACAAAATATCTATCTTCCACTTTCCTAACCCTTTAACCCAAAACTATTTCCCTTTTCATCCTAGAATTTCGTTTCCCTACTTTGCAATAGCATTAAACTTGACAAGTGAATTATTAAAAAAAATCTTGCTTCTTTTTTTTCCATCCTCTAAGCTTCTTTTATACGATTTGATAAGTCTATGAGAAGAAAAAAACACTTTTTCAAATCTATAACATCTTGACCAGCTATATTCCAACTTCTTCAACCCATCATAAAAATATTTTTTAAGAAACTAAAAAATAACACTTCCTCATTTGAAGCAAATCGATAAAAAAAGTGAAATGGGGCCAAATCTGGTGAATACGTGGGGTGCGACAATAGTTCATATTATAGACGAAATAAATGTTCATATCATAGGTCAATGGTTCATATCAAAATTTGACAAGTTTTGATATTCTGATTGCTCGCGAGAAACGGAATACTCGAAATTCCGTTTTTTTCCATCTTCAAAAAATATATATCGACCTCATCTAACTTTTTATTTCTATTTATTTAATTTCGCGATAATTTTGAAAAAGTAACGTCAGTAATATAGTGTTCTAAAGGAATAAATAAAAATAGATTCCGAAAAGTTTTTTAAAGTCACATAGGTACTTACCAAACCGCCTTCGTATTGCAAACGTTTTTATTACGATTTCAGGAGTGGATGCTATGCGCATAGAACTAGCCCCTATTGTGATCTTAGCAGCGTGGTTGAATTTCGACGAATAGTCGTAGCTTTCTCGCCAATTTTCAATGCATTTTTGGTGCAATCATACTTCGGAATATAATTTAGCTGCTTAACAAACAAAATCGAGGAATATGGCAATAATCGTATATTTAATAAACATTTTGAGATCTATAGTATCAGTACGACCGTTTCTCTCAAGTTTTGATCTCGTTGGTACTAACTTTAGATCGCTTTACACATAAATATTTAAATAAGAATAGAAAGTAAACATCTTAAATCAATTTATTTTTAGGAACATGAATACATAATACGATTTTAAATACGGATTTAAAATGTATTACTTTTAAGAACATATTAAATTAACTAATCAAAATTAATATTTTAATAATATTTTAAGGTATAAAACTTAAGTATATTTAAAGTTATGGTAATTGTGTTTAATATCTCAGCGCCAGAATAGTACTGCCGTTGAGATAACTACATAATACAACCTTCTATTAACATTCACTTTATTCACAACATTATCAAAACTACAAAACGATATTTCATCATTTATCTCATTCTTATTACCATGTATATTATGACGTCATCAATATCACAATCATTATCACAGTTATCATCGTCATCAGACATTTCTTCTCAGGTGACCTTTAGTGGTTTAGCCAGTGTCTGACATCTAGTTGTGTTCAGCTCTGGCATAAAATTCTCGAGAGTTTCAATGTCAATTGTGGGAAGGAATAGTTCTTGCGTACGTATTCGTTTTTTAAAAATATATGTTGGCCGGGTAATTCGCAAAACCAGCTATAGTTACTTGCGCGCGAACAACATTTCGTCCTATTTAGTACCGCCTGCACTGCGAGTTGAGCGACGGGATCTCGCTCCATGCAAGTGTTGAACTTAAGGTTTTGAACGTTGCATCGGAACACCTGACATTATGTAATGATATGTGAAACTAAAACAGTTATGTGCGATGAATCTTTACATGAAACAAGTTGGCATATTTTCTAAAGAAAATTAATGCTTCAGTTGCCGCCAAACCATTGATTTATTTCCAGCCATAATATTATTATCTAGCTGGCGTTCTTGAATGTTGACCAAAGTTGTATGTTTCAAGATCAGGTACCTCCCTAATTAGAGCTACAAATAGCTTAGTACGATAGTTATTGTTACATTTGATTAAAGTACTCGTACTACCTTGTAACGAATTACTTCGTGTCCGCATATGTTTAGCATGCGGTAGTCCCGCCGCATTACTGGTTCTAAATCAACTCGGTAGCCATGTTTTTGTAGTGTGAATGTAATGAAAAATGTAAGTCTCAACTAAGTTCCTTTTATCAATGTTGTAACCTGAACTCTGAATATTCTCTCCTTGGAGAAAACATGGACTACAACCGCAGTAATATCTTCTCAATAATATCTGGTATATACAACAGCTAAGTACCACCAGGCGCCGACCCGTCAAATCGTATCTTAAAAAACAATACAACGAATGTATAAAGCTCAGGTCCGAAGCAGCATGGAGTACTGTTCGCACCTTTGGGACGGCTCTGCCAAGTACTTGCTCGATGCCCTAGATGGACTGCAGCGCTACGCCTTCCGTGTTGTCAATGATCCTCATGTAACTGAGCATGCGGAGTCGTTACAGCTTCGCAGAGATATAACGTCTCTTAGCGTATTCTATCGCCTGTACCACTGTGAGTGCTCTGAAGAGTTATTCAACCTTATATCTTCCTCTCCTTTCCATCAGCGGACCACCCGTGCCGGACTCCGTTGCCACAGTTGGACGGTCAGTTCAATACCGTCCCGCACAAAAAAAGTTTGGCAATTCGTTTTTATGCCGAACCATCAAATTGTGGAACCAACTCCCGGCGCATGTATTCCCTCCCCTCTATAACATCGGGTCCTTCAAACGTAGTATGAAGAAGCATTTGGCCAGACCGGCAAAATGATAGTGACGGAGTGAAGATATTTGTGTTTTCCATCCGTTACTCTCATCTCTGGACTGTATTCGCACTTTCCATCAGGCGCGGTGCAGTCATTTTGCCGAGTCACAATAAAAAAAAAGAATAATAATATGGCGTTGATACCTCTGACTCCATTTAGTTTCCTGGGTATGTATAGGACTTCGTGGATAGACCTGTTAAGGCCCATAATAAATGTTTACGTGATAGAACGGCATTTTCAATTTAATTTACGATATCAATCTGAGTAAAAAAATCTTTATGTCAATGTTTATGTGCATTCTTTCGTGACCTTTGTTAATCTTTGACGTAACGTAGTGATTTATATTCTTCAGTGATCTTTGATTTCATCGAGCACATATTACTTATTTTAATTTTCTTTTAATGGCGGCCACTCTTATATATTTTTTCATAAATTTTCACTTGTGTTTACTCAAAGGTAAAGATTCTACCATGCAGCCTACTCGTATATTAGTATTATTTTTTCTTGTGCGGCGATTTTTGTTTGATATTATCAAGGATGGAAAACAATAAAGAAAGATATGATCGATAATATCTTTCTTTTTTTCCATCCAACAAAAATCGCCGCACGAGAAAAAGATATGACTAGGATATTATCGAACACGAAACTGTCAATGTCGATTTATTTATATGAGATGATGATGATATGATGAGAGATTGAGATTTTAGTATTAGAGTTTTTACTACTCGTACACTATTTTCTCCATATCTTTGAGTTGAATTCAATGATCTTATATTTTTAAAAAGGGGTTGAATTACTTTAAAAGTCTAAAACAAAGACTTCAATGGTACATAGACATAGTTGTCTGAAAACATCGCAAAAAAGCGTAGTTTGTATTGATTTATAGTCACAGAGGTATTAGCGTAATTGAAAGTCAAGGGTAAAAAGCACGTCAAATTTGGTTTAAATGAGATCCTACAGCTTCATACGGCGAAAGAATAGCGAAACTTGACTTAATTTTTACATTAAATATGAAACAAACATGTAGAAAAATGTGTTTACTCATGAAATTTATGGTAATGGAAACTTAATATCTAGGTATACAAAAAAATCTACGTACGGTCTCTGGAATTTAGGGAGCCAGTCTCTGTTTCTTCATTACTCTCCTTCAAAGAATCAAATGCGTTTAGCCCAAAACCAATGCTTTTTGGAATCTTTAAGATTGTGTTTTCCTCTACCATTGAATCATCTTTAGAGTTATTATTATCAGTAACTTCAGTTGGTATCTTCTTTTGGAAAGTATGTGCAATGAACTGTTGCATAAATAGCTGGGAAGGACACTCGTTGATGTAATTGGTAGACCCTTCCATACTGTTCCTTGCATACAAGCTTAGTGCAGAGTGGACTGCGAGAAAATGGCCGTCGTTTTCGGAGCGCCGACTTGGCCTGCTTGCTTCTAAGCTCTCATTTTCGGTGGAATAATTTTTTGTGGAATCATTAGATACCCTAATCATGACACCATCGTTATTAGTCTCATTTGTGGTAAGTATTGTTTCCAAGAAGCTGGAATGTAGGACGTGACTGCTAGTAGGATTTGGGCTTGACTGCTCCACTAGTGTGGCCAACGTCGATTCTCTTGAATTTAGTTCCAGTCTTGAATACTTATCATACATATTATTCGATAAACTTCTGATTCGTTGGTTTAAAAGGTTATTGAAGACAGACATTTCTGTTACTCGCCTTTCGCGACTATCCTTGAAGTTGTTCTTTATTGTTATACTTTTCCGTATCGACGTTACGTAGTGCTGTGGTGATAAATTGGTTTGGTCTTTTTTATTCATTTCAAGTTGAACATTATAATCTGTCGCAGTGGTCATTGTACTATCTCTGCTGCTTATATCACTAATGTCGTCTATGCAATATTCTTTTGGTGCAAACTTGCTGTGATTGAGGAATGATTCTTCGATCATTGAGTGCAGCCACTGATAAACGCATACTCTCATAAAATTGATGCGCGCCTCAAGAATAACTTTCATTGCTGTTTGGCACAATGCGTCTCGTGACCAGTGTGTGTTGAACCCAAAATTACTAACCTTACACTGGAAAACCTGAAATTAGAGAAGACGTCTTTAGAGGTTTGCCAAAAAACTTGTAAACTTAGTGCATTACGTAACTTTACCCAGGTCTTGTACCTGGTCGTGTGCCATAAGAAAAACTCTTGATCGGATACGATATAATTTTTGTTTAGTATCCATTTTTATTTATGTTTAATTTAACAAAGTAATGATTACTCACGTTACGACCGCAAAGTTCTATCATGCAATATTCAAATATATGAACCCGAATTGTATCAACGCGAAAACTGTTTTTTTGCAGATAATCTGTAAGTAAAGTTGTGGTTATAAAAATTTCTTATCAACACAGATAAGTTGAAACATAAGTACACATTACAAACACAGGTTGAAACAAAAAGTAGTAGTCATATTCTGGGATGTTATGAATGTGTCTATGACTATAAACTACTTTAGCCAGAAATAACAGTTGTTTATTTCTATTTGTTAATTTTATTTAAAAATATTAGAGCTAAATTTCTTCAGTATCAAGCAAGTGATTGTAATATGGGCAACATTGTCTTAATACATTCAAAAAGCAACCGTAATTACGTAATTAATTACCGCTTCTTCGCGTATTTATAATGTAGACTGTATTGCAACATGTTCAAATAACAAATAAATCAAAATAAGCACAATGTGTAGATCCCGCCATCTGTATTATTATTGCAAGCGGTTGTTTAACCTGTGTTCCGTTGGAATATGTTTAGGAAATCCTGTGCCTGTACCATGAGTTTACTGTGATAGTTGTCGCTAGCGACCATGTAAATTACTTCACAATTTGGTACGGTAAATTATACAGCGTCTCTAGCGGTTACGAGAAGAAGTAACATTTTATATACAAATATTTTACACTGTCTCTAGCGAGAACCTTTCACAGGAAACTCATAGTAGAGGCACTGAATCTGCTTTGCACCGACTGCCCGCTCATTGAGTCTCTCCGAGTTAAGTGCAGTTTTTGGATTCAATCAATCAATATATTCGCCATTACAGGTCATACCATGTTACAGACTTATTTAATACAGCTATGATGCACCTTTTACAGAGGCATACGAAAATTTAAATGCCCAAATTAATTAGTATATAATATATAAAATTATACATTTCAAGGTCAATTAATAATACTATTCGATGTCAGAAGAAAATTTAAATTCATTTTATTATGCCATATTAAATTATAAGCATATAAATTGTAATAAGTTTTAGCAGCAGTGGAGCTCCTTGTGAAAGAGTTCGCCCAGGGAACTGCCATTTTTCCTATTTATGCCGCCAAGCAGTAATGTTAGCATTACTGCCTTTCGTTATAAAATATGTTAATTGATTGCATCGTAAATCTGCACTAAACTCGGAGAGACTCAATGAGTAGGCAGTCGGGGCAAAGCGGATTCAGGACTTCCTACAGGCGCACGGTTCGTCCCGTCATTTGATATCATAAAAAAAAATCACACTATATTTTCAATTAAATATTCAATAACCGTGGACCTAATATCATTTTTTAATCTATATCCTTGTCAATTCCCTCTTAAGCATATCCAAGAACAGGATTTTTAGGACTTGTTTGTCCCGTCACTACCAAGTGACGGGACAAACAAGTCAGATATACAAGTACAAGTACAAAGTAAAAAAAAAACAAAGTACAAGTTGACGGGAGCAGTTGCAGTTCCACTCTGAGTTAAAGTTCTAAGATCTTAGGGTGACTGTTACCGCGCCTGTTACCCTGAAACATAAGTTGACAAGTCTCATGTGCCTTTTTTAACACAGGAAAATGTATTACGCATACCCCGCCGCGGGCGATGACATGGCGGGGTTATATGGAACTCTCCTCCGTTGAACCACCCGGCGATACAAGCTCGCCCGATGGATCCTCGGAGGCCTATCCACTAAAAATCTGTGTATTCACCCTCACCCACCCGTGCCGGCTCGTGGGATCCCGTTAAGACTCGCCACTCACCCCGGTGGTTGTCCCCTTCCGCGGGGACCTCTTCACGTTATGAAAGATACCCGGGTGCATTTCGGGCAATAAATCCCATGTGACTGGCACCGGCACCGTCACCCTTCAAAACTGGAATGCAGTAATGCTCACATTACTGCTTGGCAGCAGAGATAGGTAAGGTGGCAGTTCCCGGGACGAACTGCTTCACAAGAAGCTCCACTGAAATTACAGGCACGTGGGACTCGTCAACTTACCTCTCAGTGCATTTATGTGCAGTGGCAGTGCCCCTAAGATTTTTGCGATTTTAAGCTCTATTGGCGCTGCAACTGTTATGGATAGGCGTGTTGCTTTTCACCAGGTGCACGACTTGTTTGTTCCGTCACTAGGTATTATATAAAAAAAAAATTCGTCGTATGGCGTCACGCAAAGTTCATCGTTTCACAGCAGAGTGTAAAGCTTGTTAGGGAACTAATAATAATAATAATATAATAATAATAATAATAACGCACACACTCAACATAGCCCCGCACTAGGAAAATCCTGTGTCGCGGGTGCCATGGACACACACATAGACAACCACAAATTACACCCAAACTCACGAGAGAAATAAATGTAGGCCATACAAATATTTCTCCCGGCCTGGGAATCGAACCCGGGGACCTCTGCGTGGCAGTCCGGTATGGTAACCGTTCGGCCACGGAGGTAGTTAGAACTTCAGGAACGCCAATGAATTTGTTGACGTAACGCGATCGGATTTTGCCCACTCATCCTTTTCCTTTAATTTTATCGCTATACGAGTTGGCGTAACAGTAAAGGAAAAGTAATACTGTGCCACACTTACCTTGTAACCCCCTAATTTTTTGAGGCCTATGTACAATACCGTCAAGAGTTTTAATAGGCCCGTAGTGGAGTCTTATATAATTAATCGACATATTAATATATGTGTATATATTACAACAAATATGTATAAATGACTGTATTAAAAATGATTTTATGCACACAGGTATTTGACTTAAACAGCTTTATAGATTTGTGAAGTTGGACATTGACAAGACCGATAAAGCCATTTTCTTTTATTTGTTGTATATTTTGAACTGTAGGCTTCTACATAAGAAGAAAAAATTAATTATTTTAAAGATATTAGTGTAAAATCTACGTACTTCACTACATCATGTCATCGCACGATGACAAGGTACTCGCATTACAACCAGAACAATAAGATTTTAGGCGCGTATAACCCTTGTCGATCCTTTAGATCACGTAACTATTGCAATAGTCGTCTTGATGTCCATTACTCTTGACATTTATTCCGAACTAGACAGCGAAACAATGCGTCTCGACTTCAAGTGGAAGTAAGTCTAGAGGTGGTAATTTGTCTTCCTTTAGAAGTACACACTAAGGAGCTAATATTTAAGTTAAAAATTGCACTTTGCGACTTATTCCCATATTCGATTCTTTGTTCCAGTTCATCCAGAAGAGCTGATGGACCTGATCAATTCACTGGAAACTTAAAAAGTATCAGTAACAGTGTTTAGTGTTATAAGAGCTTTTTTACCAAAAATATGTAGTACAGTTGCTCGCTACAAAGTTGTCGCGCTAATGTTAGTGTTGCCCAATAAAAGACCGAGACGAGACTACATCTGGTCTTAGTCTTGTTATTGCATACTAAGTCTTGATCTTGGTTTCGGTCTATCGGTATCGTAAAAAGTCATTAATAATAATTTTTAACTCTACTATACTATAATCTCACTTTTTGGACGATGTTGATAATTTATTTTCCGTCATCTTACAATTAAATTTCAACGTAGTGGCTATTGCAAAACTGATAATTACCTAATACTTATTTTTCTCACATTCCGCTTCACACAAAATACAAATAGGTGTAAAATGTACAGGTTTACTGATTTTCTGGACATTTTGATTATGTGATATACCTTAAACTATCTTTACCTCCTTAAATGAAAGTGAAAGTAATGAGGTTCATTAATTCATTAGTTTTGACTAATAATTATACCTAGTCGTTTTAAATTGACATTTCATATAATTTTCTATCAGAAATTGTAATTTAGATTATTCGCCATTTTATAAGGAAATCCATCTGTACTGGCAACACCTGGTACGAAATCGTAAAATCTCTAAGGTAAATTAAAAAGTATAGTTTTCAATTTTATAAATGTTGTGAAAGACGGGAACCCTACGGGAACAGCGAATAGAATAGGTACTGTTTATTTTCTGTCGTCGCAAAGCGGCAACGTATCCGGTTAATTATCGATGGCGTTATGAATTGTATTAATAATACACAACGGTCATCAACACATCACACACTCGGTTGTAAAATTTTAAGAAAATTACATTCTGATTTAGAGATTTCCACTGTAAAAATGTATTATTTTACTGTATTGCGGTAATTCCAACTCCAAAATAATGGAAAATGCTTAAATTATTTTGTCATCACAACTATTCACTTCACCAGGATCTTAATTTACACTGTAATAAAGTGAAATAAACAAAAGACGTGAATAACTTGTTACCGGGAAAACAGAAATCCCCGATACTTGAATAATGTTTTGATTAATTACGCGAATTCCATTTTGAAAGCAGTTTCAGTGAAACAGACATGGAAATCGACTTTAAGTTAATGCGATATTCATTTTAGATTTTGATTATTTTGCACTAATGAACGCAAATTTAAGCTTAACGATTGTTTGGAAATAATAATTATTTAAGCGCGTTATGCTATGACCATTGCAACTGCATAATAATGGTGATGGTACGCAAATGTGGTTCCAATAAACTAAATAATATGTAAGAATCGGTTGCTGATGTTTTAAATTAAATAAATTATCATATAAATATATTTTCGGGTAAAGTATAATATATCCATTATTCGTATGAGGTGCTCATGTAACCTAAGTAATAAGGATATAAAGTAATAAGGATATTGTGAATAAAAGCGTCACGTATTATATATAAACTTGTCGACCAGTGGACAGGCAGATTTTTACGTGTCACGTCTATTCGTTTCGTATATTTTAGATTTTTTTCTTTTTTACGTACATTCTCAGTCAGGAAAAGATATGAAGCTAATAATATTGTAGAAGTAATTTCAAATGAAAATACCGGAGGTGTCGCGGGTGCGAATAACTTCGTCTGTAACTTGATTGTTTCATATAAGAGCGAAACTTGGATGAAAGAAAGTCGCAAATTGAATTTTGATGTATATACATTGATGTATATACATGAATTTTATTTGCGAC